AAACGCAGGTGGGCAAAGGCAGAGCCAGTGGCAAGGGGTGTTGGTCCTGTGACATTCTGTGGTTTGGCTGAGGCTGGCCCTCTAAGCCAATCAGAAGGCCCCCTCGTTTGGAAAAGGACTGCTCAATGCAAGGATGTGTTGCGATTTGCCTTGTCCCCCTTGCGAGGAGATGGGGGGAGCTGTGTGCTGAGGGTTTACCAGGTGACGGATACAGAAGCAGCAGCTGGCTGTCCAGGAGAGGCACCCACTGGTGTTCACATCGCTAGTAAACACCCGCCCACCCCAGTGACACCAGGTCCCTGGGGTGCCCTTGTGGTCACATGGCTGCAGCTGGGATGAGCCGTCTTGGGGAAGCTGGACAAACCCCATGTGTGAGCGAGCCCCGAAGGGGAAGTGGTCGGGGTGGGCATGGGGCTGCCAGCAGTGGGGTCTGACTGGACCCCAGGGGGTCCCTCATAGGTCCAGAATGAGCCTCGTGCTCTTACCAGGAGCTCGACACCCGACAAGACCTGTTGTTGTTATCACGTCATTCTTTGCAGGTCCCTGAGTGCTCCCCCCGGCTCAGCGGGGGGCCGTGGCAGCCCCAGACAGACCAATCTCCGTCTCATCACCCCCCTCCTCCCGTCAGTGCTACAAAACACAGGGCTTCCTCACAGGGCAAATAACTAGAAATTCACAGCTTTTTGTTTTGTTTTTTTCCTAATGGGCAGGAGCTTCCTGGTGCCTCCATTGCTGCAGCATTTATTTAGTCCTAAAAATATCCCCAGCTTTTGTTAGCTGGGTTCATGCTGGGGGCTAATCGGAGGCTTGCTGGAGAATGGGCGGGTTCCTGTGACCTTTAGAAGGGCTGCTCAGAAAGCTGCCAGCTTGACTCCATGGAGACAGGGGGATGCCCGTGTGCTGTCTGAGCGCCTGGGGGGCCAGGCAGGGTCAGGGCTCTGTGCCGGGTCCGGTGAAGGGAAAATGGGGTGTGGAGATGGGATGATAAGAGACCGGCCCTGCATATCCGAAGCCAGCGCTGTAGCCGTGCCGCACACCTCCCGTGTCCGGCCTCCCCGCTAGTGCACGTCTGCACAGAGAACATGGCAGGTGCCCTTGTCCTGGTCAGAGGGCCAGTAAACTCTGGAAACCCGGCAGAGACCGGGGCCTGGAGGAGCTAAATAAGAACAGCGATGGGGATACACACCTGAGGAGTGTGAACACCGCTGGGGGAAAGGCTGTTGTGGGAGAGCTGTGTGGGTCACGGATTGTCCTTGTGTGTTTGCTGCACACGCTGTGACCTCACCTGGATCTGCTCTCTGGCATTGCGGCAGCAGCAGAAGGGTGAGCAGGGAGTTTCGACTTGTCGCTAGGGATGTTAAATATCGGTTAATTGAATAGTCAAGTAACCTCATTAATTCTTATCGGTTACTCGACTATTCTATAGTCCCCGGGGGCGGCAGCCAGTGCGCTCTGGCCTCAGTCCCGAGGAGCCCTCTGCTGCTCCGTGCTGCTGCCTCTGAATCCGAGGCAGCAGTACAGGGTGCCAGGCAGAGAGCTGGCCCGTGAGGGGGAGCCAGTTTTAAAACCAGCTCCCCTCACGAACCATCTGCCTGTTGCCCCGGGCTGCTGCCTCTGATACAGAAGCAGCAGCCCCTGTCCAGAGGAGGTGGGGGCTGGGCTCCCCGACCTGACGAGAGCTGGAACTGAGCCAGGCTGACT